TTTGCCCAGTGAGCCAGCTGGCCGGCCCTCCCATTACATTCATTCATTTATTCATTCATTCATTCATTTACTGACCTAGTGTGTGGCAGTCAGAGGACAACTTGAGGAGCTGATTCTCTCCTCTAACTCGGCTCTAATGACAAGCGTCCTCACTCACTGAACATTCTGGCTGCTCCCTCATTAAACTTCCTGATGTAAACATCTACTGAGCAAAGGAACTACATTTATAGTAAATTCTTGACTTTGTTCATTACTAAACAAAAATCTCTTTTAAGTGTTACTCTGGACGTGAACAAGTTATACAGTTCTGAGTTTTATATAAACAAGTGAGGCCTGCTGGGGCTCTGACTCTTCTGTAGCAATGTCTTCCTTGCACAGAGAGTTGCTTTCAGAACTATCAACACTAGCGCCAGTGGACAAAGGTGCGGAGTAAGCCCCCTGTAGGGATCACAGCAAGTCATCCTGTGTACTTGATCATGTATTCAGATATTATTGAAAGTCTCTTCCAATCTAGAAAAGAAATTCTGGGGACACATACCATTCTCAGGATTGGATGCTGTGGAAAAAGCCCTGTCCTCATCAGTCAGCTCTGCTCCTCTGTCAGATTGTCTCATCCTCCCTGCTGGAGCTTGGAAAGGGAAGTCAGGAATAAGACGCAGATTAACAAATGGCAGATCGCTGCTCAGCCACACCAGCCATAGTGTTCAGTACACTGGAGTATATTTTCACCAATCATTCTGCAAGCCTAGCACTAGTGCACACACACTATGATATGCATCGGGTAAAACAGTCTTGTCCTATGATATTTCTTCTAATTCCTCTCCAAATCAGCTGCTTCTAGCTGTGTGAAAGAGAAAACTGTTATTCCACAAAACATTCCCTTACTCCACCTTTTTCTATAATAAATTCTTTTAAATTGTTTATATGCACACTCATATACACACATATTCACACTCGTGTGTATGACTCAGTTCAAGCTTAGAGGTCACAGGATAGGTTGCAGTTCTCTTGCTCCACCATGTGGTTATGGGGACCAGTCTCAGGTTGTCAGGCTCAGGGCAAGTGCCCTTACACAGAGCCATCATCTCACCAGCTCATCCATCTTTTACAGTAACTGACAGGTCATGTTTTATCTACCTACTTCCCATGGGTTTGCCTAGGTGAATCACGCACTGCTGAGTGCTCAGAGGGCCTCCCTGGGCCTAACACACACATGCTCCACTCTGTACACTGCACTTTGTGGTTCTTAGTGGAGCTTGCTGATCCTGTGTACAATTCCTGTGAGAGGACTGGCGGGAACTCTGTGACACAGGTTATTGTCCTGGCACAGTCTTCTAACCTGGAGACAATGTAACAGTCATCTGGCTTTTTTTCCCCCACATAGCCTTTACCGTCCACCCTAGATGACAGTACCTAGTATATTTTGCATAGACTGAAACATACGGTGGCTCATTGTATCTTACTCTATCAGTTTCAATACTCATCTGAAGCAAACAAGTTGAACTACTTAATTTTCTTAAAACAAAACAAAACAAAACAACATTGCTCTAGATTTATTTACTCTTACAAAATGTATTCCAAAATAAGAGTGGCCTGGTGGAATAGAAGTCTCTGCACTGCCTGTTTGACAGTGTTGAGGCAGACAATCCAGACTTGGGTCAGCCTCAAGTGTAGGGTCCACCAGCACCCTAGCCCTAGGGTGCACATGGCACCTGTCTATCTGTTCCAAGATGCTGCATTTTCCAGCTATCATGTTTATACCCCAGCCAACAGGACAAGGACAGGGTAAAGACAGCAAGGGCAAAGGGAAGGCAGGAGCCTCAGAAAGTCTTAGAACTTGTTCTCCATGATAAATAATCACTGTCCCTGTAGAACATGCAAGTGTCTAAGTGGACCTTCATGTCACTGGAGAAACAAACATAAATCAACCCCAGAATGATCTGAATGTAGAACTCAACTTTTCAAGCAGTGGTAGCACATGCCTTTAACTCCAGCACTCAGGAAGCAGAGGCAAGCTTAAAATTCTGTGAGTTTAAGACCAGACTACTCTACATAGCAAGCTCCAGGACAGCTGGGGCTACACAGAGAAAGCCTGTCTTTAAAAACCCAAAAATAGTTTGCATTAAAAATATTTATTTATCTATTTATCTATTTATTTATTTAATGTATGTATGTGAGTACACCATCGCTGTCTTCAGACACACCAGAAGAGGGCATCAGATCCCATTACAGAGGGTTGTGAGTCACCATGTGGTTGCTGGGAATTGAACCCAGGACCTCCGGAAGAGCAGTCTCTCAACTGCTGAGCCATCTCTCCAGCCCTAAACCAATGAATTTGAAGAAACGCTAGCACTATAACTTAACTCACTGCAAACTAAACCTTACCAAGTAGTCTACCACATCAGAAAATCATTTTTTATCAGTGCTAGTCCTGCTTGTGACTCAGGATACTACAACAACACACCACTCCTGGATTCTATCTACACCAGCATTCAAAGTTGCTACATCCTTTCAGGGTTTTGTATAAGCTCAAATGCATGTTACCATGCTATTCCACACTCACATGCTTAGATACACTGTATCTTATGATCAGCCATTTTGGGTTTTGTTGGTTTTCTCTTTGGAGACAGAGTCCCACAGTATCCCAGGCTGGCCTTAGATTTGCTGTGTGGTCAAGGATAACCAGATGCTCTCATCTTCCTGCTTCCACCTTCCAAGTGCTGGGATCACAGGCATGTGTGACCAGATCTGGTTTATGTGGTGCTGAAAAATGAACACTGGACTTCACACATACCAGACAAGCATTCTACCAGCTAAGCTATATACTCAGCCCTGTATCTTTCTTTACCTTCTTCTTTTTATTACTGGTAGGGCATTATGTGGATTTAAATAATCTTATGTATCTAAGTGCCTTGGTTTGAACTGCCCCAGAATGAAGGACTCTAGACAGTTAACTTATAGGGTAAAGAGGTAGGGAACATGAAAAGACAATTAACAGCTGTGTTCTAAAGCAAGCGATCACCATGAATACCTGAAATGTACGCATTACCTTAAGATTCAGCTTTGGGTCTTTGCGGTGGCTCTGCAGCAAAAAGCATTTCCTGCCAAGCCTGATGACCTTGAAACCACATGGTAAGAGGGAACTGTTTTCAGTTGTTCTCTGACTTCCACAGGCACACTGTGGCACTAGGGCTTCCATAAGTGCTTGAGCGTGTATACACACACACACACATTAATTAAATTGTAATTATTAAACATTATAAGTGAAACATTTTAAGTATTTCCTTCTGCTTTAAAACAATTGCTATTCAAAGTTCTGACCTCCTACCCATTAAGCTTGTTTTCTAAAATATTTTTCAATATGAAAATCCTGAAAAAGCTCATATGCAACCCTGAGAAGTGGCCTACTGGCTCCTCTGTATCAAAGGCCCTCAGAGAAGACGGGGAAACACTCCAATTCACTTGAACTCTGTGACAACTCACCGTTCCACACTTAAGAGATGGTTACTGTATGACAGTCAACCATTTTGAAACAAACTACCCACGATTATTGGTAAAGCTGCTGCAGGTACCTTCTGGAGATGCAGGATTGCACTATAGAGACTCTTACCTGCAAGGGTGAAAACACACAGTGTTGCTCCTGGCAAGAAAGAAGCAAGCAAGAAACAGCCGGCTGTTAGCTTCCAGTCACCTGATGCTCTAGATAAGAGCTCTGCACATCCTCTTTGATTTAATCCTGCCCTTGCCGCCTAACCTGGCCTCTCCTAAACCTCAGCAGTCCTAGCTATCCCTGCAGGGAACATCTCATTTACATCACCCCCCCACCCATCCCCCAGAGAACTTTCTCCCACAAGAGTACTACACTCCTCCACCAGCCCTTAATATTTTTGTTGATTGTTTTCTAGATAACAACACCGAATACCTCTTCAAATTTTCTTTCCTACTTTTAATTTTTTTTTTTTTCAGACAGTCTCATGAAGCCCCGGTGGCCTCACATTGTGTGTATAACCAAGGATAACTGAATTGCCTTCACCCTCCTTTCAAGGGCTGACTACAAAGGTGTGCCACTACACCCACCAGAGGTTTTTGCTTTTTTTTTTTTTAACTTGTTTTTCAAGGCCTAATGCAGAACTCATCTGTGGGGCACATGCAGCAGGCCGGGTAGGGGAAAGTCAGCAGCTCTGGGTTGGAGTCCCAGCTCAGCACAGAGCAAACCACAGCGATTCACGGATGGGAAATGGGGAGGACCCGAACTGGCACTGCTGAGGGCTACTGTGAGCAGGATCAGTCAGTCACAGACAGTGCCTGCAGATTTAGGGTTTCCACACACACACAACCTGGAATGTGTTGTTCTAAGCTGCAGCTCAAGAACCGTGTAGAATGAGGGACGTACAGTGGTTAGGCAGCTTCCCTTAAAGCTGAAGGAGAAGGTCAGGTTGCGAGTAATCGGAGATGAGACGGTGTGCTGCCATTTGAGAATATCGCTGGTGCTGTTGCCTGAGCTTCCATCCATTTCCACTATTAACCCTCCCCCTTTCTCTGAAGGAGGTAGATGTTCAGTTACTTTGGCTTTGCTAGCCAAATCTGGCATTTGTGTCTTGGTCATAAACTCGAAAATATGTGAAATGGGAATCTTCAAAAGGGAGAAAAAGTTGGTCCCTCTCCACAGGGAGCAGCTCATCCTGGCAGAAGGCAGTGAACGGAGAGATGTAGACAGTGGTATCCTCCTGCTACCCTTCCCTAAAGAAAAACAAAGTCCACAACCACCAACTATCTCACTCAAAGAAGTTTTCCTTTAAGACCTTTGTCCTTGGGTTATCAGGATCAGAATTAACTTGTTCTTTGCCTGCAAACTGGCTTGTAGTTAAGTGAGCTAAAACCCCACAGGGTCCCAAGGTCAGAGGCATGGATTACAGTGAGGAGAAATACTGTGAGCTGAGCACCCCTTTCAAGTTTACTGTGCCCCATGTCATTTCTTCTACAGTCACAGGACAGCTTTGTAGAGATGAATGTCATTTATTATGAAAACTGCTGTGACATTACAGCCAACATTCTAAAACAGTATGTTAACAAATACTTGTCTTGATTATAAAGTACTCGGAAATCATGATCCTTTTCAAAAGTAATTACCGCCTGCTGAGTCATTTCACATGAGTCAGGACACTGTGCTCGCCTACAGCAGATGAGACGGAAGAGCACCTGTGGTATCCAAACAGCTACAGTTACTGCTACCGCATAAACCAACAACCCACAAGAGGATGTTTGTAAAAAAGCAAACTGTGGACATATTGTGGTGTCACAATACTTTTGAGGTGGAGAATCCCAAGTGCATTTCTCCTTCCTTCCCTTCTGAGTTCAGTGTGAGGCAGAGGAAGACCCGCACACTGGGCTGAGGACTACTGCAGTGCCCTGCTTCCTCACACTTCCCAATCTTCAGTCTCCACATGAAGCTTGTGCTAAGCGGCTCATGGGCCTCCTGGGAATGCAGTCTGCCTCGGATCAGTGAGGTTTGTGGCAGCTCAGCAGTCAGTGTTTGCATTCCAGTGTATTCCTATGTTCTTTTCGGTCAGCAGGCAGAAGATCCTATTGAATGCATCCCACGCGGGGACTAGGATGTCGTATTCACCCCATGGGAGCTATCTGACCACAAATACAAAAGGTTAATACTACAGTTTAAACTTCTTCTTCTTCCCCCACTAGCAAAGTAGCATGCTGCACACGGGCCTGGAAAAGGTCTAGGAAGGCAAGGTGTGGGCGCTTCAGTTTCAAGTAAAACCTGCTCCTTGCCAAAGGGTCTGGGGTAACTGCAAATGGATTTAGACAAACCAGGAGCTTAAAAACAGTCATCAACTTCTGTTCACCTAAGCAGCTTTCCTGGAAATGGTTCCTGTTACTCCACGGAGCTGAGAACTGTCACTATAGGAAAGGGGAACCAGTTTCCTTTTCTAAGTAGGTGTGTGGATCTCAGCACAGGCCAAAGACTGTCTACTCTGTCCCTATTTCCCTTTCCAGCCCCATTTAAATAATACAGTATATTTTCCACACTGGGCTCTAATTATTAGTAAGGCTCAGAAATTACAACCAAAATAACACAAAAGTCCATTCCAACTTCAACACTGTTCTTTTCTGCCACCATCAGACTCCAGATGGTGCTGTGGCTTCCGCAGCAGATAATCCGTTCTCAAGCTGTCAGGGACCCTAGTTAAGCTTCTCACGCTGAATCTGGTAGTAACATGCCTGAAAAATCAAAACAAATTCAGATTCACTTTCTTTAAGACTAGGGAAAGAACAATCCCTTACCGAAGGCCTCAGTCTCCCTCACCAAGCTCTCCCTGACCTCAACACTCCTGCCAATGGCTATGTGTAGCCTAATCAGAACAAGAACAAACACTCACACACTTCCCCTCTATTTCCAAAGTGAGACTATTATCAGCTGTGTGCTGGTCCCAGCAGCATCTGGGAAGTCTGAAGGCTCCGAGGACAAGTGTGAGCAGAGCTCCTCGGCATTCACTAGGCAGAGGCTGAGCAGCCCCACAAACCACACAGCACGTCAGAGTTTCCAAGACTGCATTTCTACAGAGCATCTTCAACGGTCCCAGAGTGCTTGTGTGCTTAGGACTCAGACTCCAATGGACACACACACCAGGGTGGTGCACAACTTCACTCTTGAGTGGGATCCTGAGCCAAACACACCAGCTCTTTGCCATGACAATCTCTAGTAACCGTTCTTAAGAGAGTACCTAACCACTTCCTGTCCCGTTTCCAGCAATGGAGGAAAGAGGCCTCACTATAAACCCACCAGCACTGGGTAGAACCAGAACACTTCTGCTGGTATTTTAGGCACAGGTTTCAGTCTGGACTTCTATGGCTTTGAGTGAGCCTGAGCATCTGTCCTTATGTACAGTTACTAATTTCCCTCAGAACGCTTCATAGTGATACTATGAAGTAATTGGTAGACATTGCTAGCAGCCTGCTCTTTGCCTTCTTCTCATTCTCAGTTTATAAACAGAAACATTAATGTTAAAAAGTCAACTTGGGCCATGAACCTAATGTTCAGTTCTAAGGTTTTTGCCCCACTTTCCTTTGCTCATCTTATGTCTATAAACCCCAAGGCACCTACACTTCTCTACCTCAGCCTACCTCCCAAACTGCTACAAACTACAATACCTTTCTTTAAACATTAATTAAATAATTTATATTTTCCAAGTTTAGTTTACATCTTCCTTTTCTGATATGGAAATTATATTACTGTATTGTTAATACGAACATTATCTTTTCCTTTAGGGACTGCCTATTCATGAGACCATAACACACTATTCATATTAAAAATGATATTTTTATAAGATTTTATTACCTGGCAGTATAGGTCTAACTTGTCCTAATTTAATATATTATCGTCTTTTAGAACCAGAAACATATATTCTAAAGGTATTAGTTTATACTGAAAGGCAACTCAGACCCAACAGGACATGTATGATGTATGTACTTGCTCATATATAAATGTTAGCTGTTAAGTCATTGAAGGCTAGGGCAGGACTAGATCTCCCTGGAGGGGAGATAGAATAGATAGTTATGGATGGGGAGGAGGGCTGGAAGGGAGGATCACACAGGTAGGGGTAGAAGAGACTGAAAGAGGGGTATGGGAAGGACACCTAAAACTAAGGGCCATTTGAGGGTCCCATGGACACACATACACACAGGAAGGCAATTTAAATGAAATCACCAAATAAAAGGGGAGACAGAGCCCCAAACGGACATTTCTTGTCACACTAAATGAAGCTCCAATACCAGGAATGGATTACATTTAACTGAGCTCTTGGCCAAAGGGGCCCCATGGGAAGTGCCCCTCCCCCTCCCCAAAACAGCTCAGGCTATTGCCAAGGCCACTGGAAGCTCTTCACAACCTGATATTAAGGTTCTACTGCTGAAGACACCTGCTCAACTCACTGAACATGGAGAGGTTGAGCTGGTCTACCTAGAGCCTCCACCCCTAGTGGCTAGTGTCCAGAGTACTGGAAGGTACACTGCACACTACCAAAGGAGAAAGGCAAACAGCATTGCTGCAAACCCTTAGATCTACAAGAGTGACCTGTCTCTAAGATACGCTGGTGCAATGGTGGCACAAAGCCTGTGGGAGTGACCAGCCACTGTCACTGATCTGAGTTAAGGCCACTCCATGAAATGGAGCCCATACACAACGCTGTCTGGGTGGCCGAGAATCTGAGCCAAGATAGGCCAAAGACCTGGAGGAAAACAAAGTACAAGTGTTTGGCTGAAGGGACACAGCAATGCAGCACTCTCAGTGACATGCTGCTACACTCATATCTGCATCCTGCCCAGTCATCACCAGAAACGCTTCCTCCTGTAGCAGACGGGAGCAAATACAGAGATCCGCAGCCCAGTGCAGAATATAGAAATTGCTGTTCTCTAAATCAAGGTGTGTAAGTTATAAAAATATATAACCAACTGCCTGTTATGCCCTAATTAACTACATGCAACTGCCCTGATCCTCTGTCCCCTTATCACTGTGAGCTCCAGACCTAATATCTACAAGAATGCACTAGGAACCTGGAAGCCAGACGCCCTGGATACAGCCAAATCTCCAATGGGTACTCCCCTGCTTAACCCATAATGTCTAAATACAATTTGGATAACCCTGCAGCTCCCCCTTGATTTGTGTTCCCATCCTCTAAAAATGTACAATCTCCCTTTGGGAACAAGGTTCAGATCCAGAACTGGCCATCTCCCTGAGCGCTCAGAAAGTGAAGCTTTCTTTTTTAAGCTTCTGTATCCAAAGTGAGTTTTCTGGGCTTCCACCCTGAACCCAACAATGCCTGCTTGATTTTAACAAGAGACAGAAACCATGTGGATCTGGATGGAGACTGCAAAGAATAGGGAGAGGGGAGGCCATAATCAGAATACATTGTATGAAAGATCTAGTTTAAACAAAGAAAAAAGTAAAGTCTATACTGAATTTTTCCATAAAGAAGAAAGTAGGTCAGGCTCACAGTTGCAATCGCAGCCCTTGGGAAGCACTGGCAGGAAGCTGACTAGGAGCTGCAGGCCAACCTGGAAATAAGCAACCCCCCACCAAAAGAGAAACAGAAGAACATACAGAAAAGTGGTTCCTGAGTGAATTACACTATGGTAAAGGACAGACTTATTGAGAACTGCTCAGTGATGCGCTCACCTTCAAGGTGGTGAACATTATGCCTTGCTCCCCATGCTGGAGATAGGGGTCCATCAGATCCTCAATGAGGTGAACTTCAGAGCCTAAATTCCGAATCCTGTCACAGACAAAAAAGATGGGAGGTTCATTCTGCTTCTAAGTGGACCCTCCTTTTGAATCAACTGACGATGGCAGACAAAGACAGCTTAACCCAAGTGAAACTGTTATGACAGGAGCAGCCCGTAGCATCAGTGCAAGAGGAGCAGAGTTGAAAACACAAACAGCAAAGACTGGATACCTGGCTCGCAGCACCACATATAAGAAGACAGGGAACAAGTCATCCATGGACCAAAGGAAGTCCTCCTGCAATGACGACAGGACACTCTGGGAGATCTCTTCAAAGGTCTGCTGGATCACCTTAAGTTTGTCTGATGGAGTAAATGTTGTGCTGTTGTGAAGCAAAGTGTAAAAAGACATCCTATGATTTTCCTAATAGATCCATCGCTCATTCATTAAAAATAAAATACCCCCTCTAGGTCACATGTCTCAAATCAGACATACTA